AAAATTGATAGAAATATTTGGATATTTCTCGAGGCGAAGATGTCGACTGTCTTATTCCCCATAAAGTCCATGCGGATCGCCTGGTGACAGTGGTCACACATCTCTAGATTTCACTGGTCAGAGCCCACTGCAGAGCTCATAATTCACAACAGTGAAAGTGCAGATGTCGATTTCCACGAACGATATCCACCGTATGTCCCACAGGTAGGTGGACATATTGACAATGACTTGAGAGAGAGAGAGAGGACTGCTTTATTTTGAAAATAACTTTCAAAACTTTCAGCAAAAACGGTTCTCCAGCACACAGTGATTACCATAGAGATTAACAGGTTTTTGACAGACAGGTGGACATGATTATATATGAAGAAAAAAGGAATTTAAGGTACAAGATCGAGTTTTAGTTTTTGTTTTTCAACATCTTTGCAGGTGAGATACCGGGCTAGAAATGGCCGTATGGAATTCCGATAGGCCGAAGTGCGGCAAGGGATGTGGCGGAAGTATCGACGCGTGGGGCGTAAGGATTTTGCAGCCATTAACTCATTATGAAGGGGATGGACGGTGTCATTCAGAATTCGGTCAGCGAATTGCTCCACCGAGTTGAAATGTCGCTGCACCATGATATCAACTAAAAGATGATAGGAAACACCAGCAGCAGAGGCAAGCATTCGAATGACACGTTTAAAAATAATTAGATCTTTTTTAAGTAAAGCTGGAAAAATAACTGGAGAACAATAAAGAATGAGTGGAAGAATACAGCCATCTATGAATCGCCAGATTAAGGACTGGGGTGTGTGATATGAACGTAGACGACGAATATAATAAACAAGTTTTTGAATTTTTGTTAAAAGGGTTTCCATATGAAGAGAGAAAGAGGGATTTGAGGATAAAGTAACACCTAGGTACCGGAAAGAAGATACCTCATTGGGAAGAATATCCAAAGGTTCAGGAATAGGAGAGGGTCGCAAGCGAAACACACACTGTACTGATTTCTGATTGTTGAGTAGGAGTCCATTATTCGAAGACCATGCGGAGACGTGGTCTAAGCCATCCTTTAAAGACTGTAGGTGAGTCAGTTTTTTTGAGTGGGTGGCCTACGACCATGTAATCGGCATACTTAACATACAGGCAGTCGTTTGGCGATCTCAAATCATCAGTATGTAGGGAGAAAAGATGAGGGGATAAGATAGAACCTTGAAGAACTCCACAATTGTTTGGAAGAATAGAAGATTTTCTCCTTCCCGACTGGACAAACTGAGTGCGGAAGGAAAAATAATCTCTAAGCCAAGAGACAACCCAGCTCGGAGTGTCGCACGCAGCTGCTTTGGCCAGGAGGAGTTGGCGCGGAATAGTGTTGAAGGCGGAAGAGTAGTCGAGAAAAGCACATGCATATGCACGGCATCCCTTGTCTAAGTCTCTCAAAGCTGAATGAACAACTAAAGAAACAGCATCCAAGGTGCTAAGCTTTGCCTTGTATGCAAATTGTAGAGGATCAGAAAAATTGACGGAGGAGTACTTAAGGGAATCTAATGCAACTCGTTCAGTAAGTTTCAGGAGTGCAGAAGAGCAGGCAATAGGACGGAAAGATTTAGGAGCAAAAGTTAAAGATTTTTTAGGGATTGGAGTAATTCTTACTGTACGCCAGGCGTCAGGAATCTTGGACTATATGAAGGATAGATTAATAAGGTGGTCGTGAATTAATGCATAGTGACAGTAGGCCTGCGCAGTATCTACCACACACTCTCCTACCTCATTTACCTGGGTCTGATGTCATGAGAGAGTCAAGAGCAATCAAGGCTGGATTGGGCGCAGTGTCTTACAAATGCAAACAGATCGTCAACGCGAGACCTGTACGTCTCGTCCGCTCGCAGTCGACGCAGTTTTCTGATTTACAACGGCACCAAACTATTGAACAGACGTCTTTGGTGTAGTAAACAGATAACAAGCCCACATATATGCATAATGACAGATGGGCATTCACTGATCAGTTTACTGAACGTGCTTGTTCCGTTGTGCCATGGGGCTCATACTAGAACCCTCTCAGTCAGTCGCACAGTGACTTGTATTAGAAGTAAATGACAGGATACCGACAAAGACAGGGAGGGACCGGAATAGCCATGTCTGGCTTATTGGACGTCATCAGCCAGTCATACCCAACCCTAAGCGTAGATTACTTGGGATTCGAACCCGGGATATTTGGTCATGGAGTTTGACACTGCGCCATTGAGCTACTGGTCCGCGTTCCGTCGGTTGCGATCGGGAATATCAATCATGCCAAATGGGCGCTCACTGATCAAGTTACTCAGTCGGTTTTGTAAAATTTGTGGCTTGGAACTCTGTCTACTTTGGGGAGGGCTCGACTCTCTTCGGAGTTCTGGGAGTTAGGTTGCACTGCCTCACTTGTAGTACTCAGTGTAAAGATTGTCCAAATCGACGGCCGAACTGTCCTGTGTCTGGAAAATGGGTAACAGCATGTCGTGACCTAAGTCATAAACGCTGTCGAAGTTTACTAGTGATTGCTTATCATTGGCAAATCGACCATAATGCATGAACCCAATGTCTACGTCACTTAATAATAATACTTGAGGAAGTAAAGCATAACAGAAATTTTAAAAGCAATATTTGGTTATTCAGAAATGATAATTCTTTGTAATAGTGGAAGATCCCAAAAGCGTCAAAAGTAGTTGTGGTGGTGTGGACTTCAGTTTCAGATATACAGAATGCCTGTGTTGCATCCTGTTGGTCTATGCTTGAAGTTCTTCGCGTCCTCTGCGCAAGTGCTTCCATTATTTGCTCCCTGTTGGCATTGCTCTTTTCCGTTCGTAACCTTTCTTCAAGCATGGTCGGTGTTCCTTTAATTAACTAAGTTTTCATTCTGACATTGAGCTGGAAATTCGATTTCGTTCAATAGTTATGAAGGAATTCTTTCGCTAACCTATCCCTTGTTGAGGTTTGCATGTTTTTTTATTACCTATCTTCTACATACAGAATCACATGTACCTTGAAGTTTGTATTTTTTCGACTTATACGTGACGCTTTGACTATTAGAGAGTTCAGCCGTACACTGCAATAGTACAATACATTGAAAGGAATTGGTTTTATTAAATGCAGACGCGTTCGATGAAGAGTGAATCGCAAATGACGGAACAGGCTTTTTGACTAGATGAACCGGATGCCGGTTAGATCGTATTTGGTAGCCCTCCCTGTACTGAAAACTCCCAGCTACCTGTCTTACGGGACCGGTGGTAATAGGTGCTATACGGGTGGGGTGAATGAGTGGTGGCGTAAATGGCTCTTATAGTGTTTGCCTAAAATGGACGCTCCTGGTAAAGTTGTTGTCTAATTTAAATAAAGTGACAAATGCAAGGAAGATATAGTAATGAGCAGGGATACTTAGTACGGTATGCGGAATAAATTCATCTTTGCCCCAGATTGGAAAGAACAACAAGTGAAGGCGAACAGCCAATAGGAAGTAGGCAGTGTGTTCTAAGGTCATCTCGCAGTATGTGCGATAGTACTTTAACCGATAGAATGGATATGAGGACACGAGAGTTAAGCAGCGGCACGCAGGATGCCATAACGGAAGCGGGGTAAGACTTTAATGCGAAAAATATGTTTGGGCGGAAGAGAAAATCCGCAAATAATAGTGTATTGCCAATGTGGTCGCATTTATGATTCAAGCTATGGCAGTAGTTGTGTGCTATACGTGAATGGTGTACTAGACAATGCAAAGAGGAATTGGCAGGAATTGGCGTATGAACAATTAACGTATTAATCCGGACTCAGGGAAACTGAATCTCAGTGTAACTTTCTGAAACCGGACGACGAACCACTTAATGACTAACAAATAATATTTAATGTTCAAAATATGAAGAACTCCAGGCACCAGAAGGGCAGCAGTTAAATAATGACTGCCCTTGCGACTGTGGTGCAGTTAAAAATGCAATTAAACACTTTTGAGTAATTTCTGACAGCTTGATCAACTTACTAAATACGCATGTTTGTGGGGACTACCGAACTGCCCACGTGCCACAACACCGTATTGATCGGGTGACTATTTGAACTGCAAGCATGCATTCACCAATGCAGCGGACCCTAAGGCAGTATTCGTCTCAAGGGCTGAGCGAACATGGCGAAGAGAACATCCAACTGGATTTATCGCTTCGCACTACTGTTTGCCTTCTGGGTGACGAGCCGGATTCAGTTGGGCCCCGCGGACAAGGAGAGAATTCTTCAACTTCATTTCAATGTCCGTAACAGGGTGAGACCAAAACCGCGTCGAATGAATATCCTTCATTATTCGGATCAATTAGAAGGGTTTGCTGAGAAGTGGGCTAATCGCTGTGAGTGGGAATTTCCCGATGCTCTCGAGCATCCTGATGTCGCTGAACTGGGCATGAATATTGCAGCCATTGGCCGTGAGGATCGTGAGCCCAATT